GAGTACGGTTTTAAGCTTCAAAGCAATTTCTTAGGAAATCAACTTGAAATAACTAACAAATTAATCTTAAGTATGTTTTACTTGAAACAAAAATTTTTTGAAAAGAGTAATAATATTAACACTAGTGTTTAGCTCCAATCTAAAGGCTGTGGTTACCAAGTGTTAAGCTTCGAGAGTGTTTCTCTTTTCATACGACACAATAAGGTCATCAATGACTGGACGTGTGACCTTTATTATCGAAGAGTGCACTAATGATGTTATCATATACAAGTATTATCTAGCATCCTACCCATAAACGTGCAGGTCAATTGTTAGGGCTTGTTGGCGTAAGAATGAGGAGAAGGTTGCCTTAAGGCATGAAACCTCGGAGGCCAACTTTCACAGGCCGCGAATTTGACAAGTGCAAATGAATGTTTAAATGGATAGACTCGCATCACATATGTAGCTTCCATCACCAATGTTTTGCAAGAATATTGTAAAAGAGAAGTCGTAAAAATATCTTCTTCATATTCTTGTATTTACTTTATGAAGAATAAAACACAAAAATCGTGCATGCCCTTTATTATGTTTACGCACTTTCGTCTAAATTGTAATACAAGTTTTTCAGGTCATTATTCTATCATTTCTATATAATGCTTGGGCTATTTTTATGGGCTCGAAGAAGCAAACACTTCTCCTGTGTGCATTTTGCAGTTTTTTTTCTTATTTTGTTAATTTTTTAGTCTACATATGAATTTTGTTTCACTTAATACACGAAGAGTCAAAAATAGGAACCTGCCAGAGTCTCCCACGAGGTGGAGACCAAAAAAATTTCAATTCCCCATCCCTTTACTTGTTTATTTTTATTTTTAAATACTATATAAATTTTAAAATATAATAGTAAAATAAGAATTAAGAATAATAATGGGTACATTACATTTCCCTCCTCGCCCACAATCGGCCCAAAAGGGAAGATCTCTGTGAATTGTGTGAAAGTAGGATATTTAGTTTTGAAATGTCCATTATTGTACTACTAATTTTTAATTTAACAAAATACTGGAATTCTAAATGACACACACAAACACAAACACCCACAAAATGAACCATCGTTGCAGCCATATAAAACCACCACCCGCATCTCTTCCCCTCCGGTTGAGTTATATTTTTCATATCTGAAGCCAGATCTGGTTTCAAGAAATCTAGATTCAGATCCAAAGCCTGGTCATGAAGATGGTGAGTTCGTATGCGCGCGTGTATATTGTTGGTCGTCGTGACGGCTGTGTGAATTTTGGACTAGCAAATGCCCTTTTTTTTCCCCCTAGCAACATCGGAGTGTTTGCTGGACTGTTGTAAAGACGACAATGTTTGACTGATACCTAAGTATTACAAGTAATGACAACGACAGTAACAAGTTCTTGATTAGTTAACTTTTTTATGTGTTTTGAACTGTTCCCAATAAAGCCACAGGGCAAGATGATATTTTTTTCCTTGTATCATCACAAATCAACAAAAAACACCGTGCATTCCAAATCTTATTTTACAAGTAAAGGACTCAATACCACTAAATTCGTCCCTAAAATTCGAGATGTCAATCAATGCAACAAAATACCCAATATAATGAGTTTACAGAGGAAACTAGTCATCGATATATTTGGAGCCATTTGGATATAAGCTGGAACTAACAATGTTGGATATCGAAGCGTAATGCTCCTATATACTCAAAATCAATGACTTCAATGCAATCGACGTCTCATGCACAAACAAACATTGCGCAAATTATGTATCATCACCTTGCAATCAAGTCAAATTTTGCAAAATCAACTTCTTCTATTTTGCAATCATAGTCACCCCCACTAAAGAAAAAATGCAAGGAGTTGTCATTTCCAAGTCATATTTGAGGTCCAGAGAGTCCACTTATCACTAAAAATGGCTCAGTAAATAAGCCTTTCAACAATTTTAACGTCATAAAGGTAATGAATGCTGTATATCATTTAACAATGTCTGCGAATTCAGAACTCGGGTAATTTANTTTCAACAATTTTAACGTCATAAAGGTAATGAATGCTGTATATCATTTAACAATGTCTGCGAATTCAGAACTCGGGTAATTTAATAAGGGTATACCATGAAATCTTGAATAGTTATTCCACTAAGGAATCACAGAAACCATGCGACTATTGAAAAAGCAAGAATTCGATGAGTTATATAGATACACTGAGAAGAGTCGAATTGAGGCATGATAAGTTAATTTCATTTCTGATCATTCATCTCCTCTCCAGAAGTTACCATCATTTCAACTCTCCACAAGAAGAGGGCTATAGAAATTCTGTAGATGCAAATCACGTAAGAAGGAAATAAATAAAACACAGTGAAAAAGTAGAATTGTTAAAACTGAAAAACGAGAGGCTAAAAGGGAAGAAATTTGTCCACCTCAATTCCCATTGTCATTCTTCAAACTCGTGCATATGATCTAAGAGGTAGTTTGCTGCCAGCTCCTCATTCTTGTTGCAAGCAAAGAACACCTCCAGCACAAGAGCTCGATCAAACCCCATTCCTACAAGCTGGCAAAAATAGGGAAAAATTACCATGATTAGTAGCTATCCAAATTGACATCAACACCCTGCATAATATTTGTATATGTGATTGTAGTATATTATATTTGTAAACATAAATTATGCCAAAAATTTTCAACCCAAAGTCTATGTTTTATGAACAAAGTTACATATACTAAGAGATGGGTTCCCCCTTCGTCAACGCTTAAGCTGGACTTACAGAGGTGCATGCCTCAAGTAATATTGGGTGTTGAGGCACGGATACCTTATGTTGCCCTTTTTTGGGCTTTTTAGCTCAATATATTCGAAGAGCCTTTTAGACTGTTATAGAAACAGTTCAGACCGCTATAAATCTCAAAAAGAAACTTGAAAAGTTTAAAGATTAGAAAAGATGTGGAGTCAATGTGTGCCAATAAAGTGGTTACTAGATACAATTTAGACGGTTAAATCAGTTGAAGTGTTCTGTTAAAATCTATTTGTATGGGGATCTTTCTAGATGCTTTATGGTTTACTACGATTGAAAGTATTTGTCTTTTATTTTTGAATACTTTATTGGGTTATTTTAAGGGCTTGCTCTTTGCTTCACCAGCAACCGAACCTTTCACCCACTTTG